ACGAAGTAAAGTATTTTTTTTTTGTATATATTTTTTTTTAATCAGAAAAAGGAAATCGAAAATCCTTTATCTATAAATGGTCATATCTCGTAATAGCAAATCAATAAAAATTTTTCGTGATTCCTACATTTATCTTGCTCGGCGGTTTCATGCAAAATATTTCACTATTTTTTTCGTCCATAATAAAATTATTTTCGTGAATCTAGACAAAAATATTCGCTGGGTCTCACATTGGAACCCTGGCGGACTTTGCGATGGACAATCTCTATACATGGATCTTTAGATCGACAATCATATAATAATGGTATTGATGATATTTTTAATTGTTTTTTGAAATATTTTTTATGTGGCGCGAATTTTCTTTGCCACCTGTTGGATCGATGTCGCGGTTCAAGTTTGGATTTTCACGTTAGGTTGTGTATTCTTTGCATATTTGACTATTCCTTTCAGAGCATTCCGGATTCTTGATTTATATGTGGCATAATTTGTGCAAAGTCGGAGCTTCGTAAGTTGATGTAAGTTGTAAGCTCCACGCCCCTGCCTCCGGGCTGGCACGTTCGAGCAAGCTTTGTCGGCCTAGGCCACTTCTGACCATGTCAGCGATGAAATTCCAAACGTTTCACCATCGTTCAGAGACCTATACCCTTTGGTAAACGTTTACATAACTATGGAAAATCACAATGTTTAATGGGTAAATCAACTATTATTTCTATGGCCATTTTCTATGTCGCAAACTGCTAGTCATTACCAGGGGGTCAACATGTTCTCCGTTAACATTGCCATTTTGGGGTATACCCGCAATTTTTGATAGCCCATGATTGGTGTTTGATTATTGTCGCTGCAACCGCCATTGTTTTGCTAGGGATTTTGGAGTACCCATAATTAATAAGGATCAACAATTGTTGTGACGGTCTTGGAAGCCCAGAGATGCACAGAGGGTACGTTTGATTGACCCATGAGAAGCAATACTTGCCGCATCATTTTGGATCATTTTAGAATATTTCGGGGTTCTTACGGGTACTTTGAGTGTCTTGAAACATCAAATAGGACGTAACACTAATTCACATAAACATCATAATCGAATATTCTACGGAAAGTCACAATATCACCATCCTTTCTCCTATCATCCTTAACCGATATGAGTGCGACTCAAACCCTGGCAACCTGTTCAAGTCAAAATAGCAAGTGTGCATCCCTACTTAGACTGAGTCGACATCACGTTGACGTGACACAACCACTGCAGGATGTTTCATCCACTTTTTTTGCAGACAACGTAGTGGCGAGCCATCGCGCAGAAAAGAGACCCTACAACTGGCTGCGTGGACCAGTTTTGGGTGGACCACCAATTAAATTAATTATCGACAATATCATACCAACATTCAAGTGTTCACGAATAAAATATGAAACATGTATATAAGATGTACCCTCTGGTAAACTAACATAGCTATGGAAAATCACCACATTTTGAATGGGTAAATCAACGAACTAAAGGTGCCATTTTCAATAGCAAACTGTCAGTCATTACCAGATGTATCATCCATAATTTTTTGATAAATCTTCCAAACTTATACATCTGATATAAGAAAAATAATATCACCCTTCCAAAACGAGTTGATCAATCTTCCCACGCACCCGGAGACTCCGACCGGACTGTGGCCCCAGCCATGTCCTGCTGTGGGATCCGCTCCCAAGTCCAGGAGTGCCAGAGCTGCTGAGCTGCAGCCTCCCAACCCAGGGGTTAAAAAACGTGTTTTGACCACCAAAACTCAGCTGGTTGGTGGTGCAATAACCATCTTGAAAAATATGAAAACTCGTCAATGGGAAGGATGACATCCCATATATGAAATGGAAAATAAACAAGTTTGAAACCACCAACCAGTCAGGGTTTAAGCACCAAAATTTCATGAAATCTTGATACATACTGTGGATGGGCCAGCGAAATCCGAAAACTTGTTGGAAGATGGTAAACATCCCGTTGTCCTCCCATTATTTACAGTGTTACCAATAGGTATACCAACTGGTTTTCGCATTTCGCTGGCCCATCCACAGCAATCATCATTTTTGCTATGTGGTGGTTTTCGCAGCAAAGAGATCGACATAGATCAACCCATTGTTTTACTGCAAAAATCACAGGAATTCTGAAATTCTTAGGATTTCTTGGGTATCTAGCTGCTCTCGTGTTCTTTGGTACCTTTCCTTAAGCTGCTGAGTTTCCAACCTGCTGAGACCGCACGATCCAGGGCCTCGATGCTGGAAAAGCATCACCATCGGGTGATTCGAAGATGGTGAAAAGCCCTAAGAAAATGGATGAAAATGGATGAACATGAATGAAACATGAGAGATTTCTCAATGAAAATTGAGACTTCATCAACTCAATGGAGACTTTTTTTACAGCTGCAGAGGCATGGGTTAACGTCTGTCCAGGGAGTCCAGGTCCAGGGGATCCCAATGGGGGAAATGTCGACCACGACCACAATAAGAAGAAACAATGCTACCCAGCCAGAAAATCCCAATTTTTCATAATTTTTCGATAATTTTGCACCTGGAGATCGCTTTCTTCCTCTGTGAACATCACTTTGTGGGATGGTTCAGCACTATTCAATTACTATTGCAAATGATGTTCGACCCTGCAAACTGTGAAATCTCTTGGGAATGCCAAGGGTCTTGGAAACCAATTCCTCAAGGGATAGGTTTGTAAGCCCTTGGGTAACTCCATAACTTGACCCTCCCAAACCTTAATCTTCCGAATTTGGAATCCCCCCAAGTATATGAATCCCAGTTAATCATTAGACATTCCAACATGGGCATGGATTTAAAAACTATTAAGTCCCATAACTTTGGGGAATGAACATCAATTTACCTGCAATTTTGGTGCCAGAGGTACAGGGTTGTGACCCATACCCAATCAGGAAATAATCCATTATAGTCAGTAAGAAAGTTGTATATTTATCCACAATATAAAAGGACATTTACCTTATAACTGATCTATATACTACTAACCTATAGCTGGGAGTTGCCCTATTACTGATATATTTCCCTTATAATACTATATTTACATTGTCACTGATACATTTACTTGATGTGATATATTTAACTTATAACACATCAATTATCAATTTACCTTGCAAAGTAATGTATTCACCCAAATGTTACCCATAGTCTACCTTATAACGCTAATATACAGCTGGAAGTTTCCCCAAACAACGGAAGTAATTTTCTTTATAACTCATATATATATATATAAATATATGTATGTAATGTAATGTACTGTACTGTAATGTAATGTACTGTACTGTAATGTACTGTACTGTAATGTAATGCAATGCAATGTAATGTATGTATATCTATGTATCTATGTATGCATCTATGTATGTATGTATATATATACATATTTACTATGTACCCAATTTTCTGATGGAAGATTTCCCAATGGTAAAACCCTGGAGCCCGGGCAAAAAAAAAACAGGGCTCCAGGCCGTACTCCCATAGCGCGGATCCGGCGCGCTGGGATCCGCCCGCAGTTCCACCAAGCGGCGGACCAGGGAAACTTGACACCTGCGATTTTCGGGTTTCTTTGGTGTTTTTTGGATTCTTTGGTGATATTCTGGTGGTTTTTTCTGGTGATTTTTTGTGGTGATTGTGTGAAACAAATATTGTGCTCTCGCGGTGATTGATTTGTGATTTGTGAGCATTTTAATGGTCGTTTTGGTGACAACTCGTTTGTTAATTTGACGGTAATAGTGAATTATTGGTGATTTGATGCTATCACCCACAAGACCTATTCAAACATAGGAGGCGCACCAACAATAACCATTAGAACATTAGTCATGAATATCCGAACAACTGATTAGGATGACATGCAACCCTAAAGCCAACAACGTGGACTCTCACATCCACAAAAGATACAGTAGTCATTGATGACTCACAAGCCGATTTGAATATCCCAGGAGTTTGTTTAATAAACAAATTTGTAATTTGTTCCAAAATCCATTGAGATGGATCACAGGGGTGGCGCCTACTTGCCGCCGTACGCAGCAAGGGGTTGCCGTTCAAACGGGGCCTGGCCATGGGCCGAAATTCATCAACACGGGGCACCCAGAACTTTAATGGGCACGTCTGAAATTGCAGCGCCCAAACCAACTTGCAAGTGTGATAGGGAAAATATGTCAGTGGCCATCTCAGGAACCTAAATTGGAGGTACCTACCATTTCTTTAAGGCCTTATATGGTACAGTATGGTACTAACGTACCTCCATTTTAGGATCCTGAAATTCCCATGGGAAAATGCTGAGAATCCGAAGTTGGGTCCCATTTTCAGCCCCGAAAGCGGCCTTCCCCTGGTCCGTTTCATCCCCTCGTCCAACAGCCATTCAGCAGCCCGAGGATCTGGGTTCTCCTGGCTGGTTAACAACCAAGTCAATGGCAAGTGCCTCGTGGTAAATACGTACTTTCGCAAAATACATCACATGATATATCAGATGATATGTCTTGAGATATTTGGATGATAATATATATATAATGGAATATATATATATATATAATGTAATATAATATATAATTATATATATATATATTCATATATTATGTTGGTCCCTATGGAATCCTTGAGACAGATGCCACTAGGTTTGGAATTCAGTTTTACATTTCAGCTCCTGAATCTCCACCATCTTTGTTGAAATCGGAGTTTACCGAAGAACCTCACAGAAAAATCACCGCCTGCGTGTACTGCTGAGCTACCAGGCTGTATTCCTTAAGCATGCCCGGCTAGCTCCTCCCAAACGTTCTTTTCCATGCTCGGCTAGCTCTGCTGCAGATTTGATGGGGTCCGAACAGTGTTGCCAACCAAAAGGGAGCAAAGCCCAAATGAGGGATAAGATTTCCCTATCCACTTGCGTAACAACACTTTTTGACGATGTTCCCGCACCAAACCTGCCACTGCCACTCTGTGGGAAAGTTTAGGGTTAAGCTGCACGATCTGAGGCAGAAGTTGTTGGAAGCTTCATGGCTTGTTCCACGCAGAATGGAAGAAGCCTCAACGATTGCAAGTTAGTTTTCGCTAGTTTTCGAACATCAATGTGAATCAAGTATTACATCAAGTATCAAGGAGTATCAAGGTGTCCTCCATTCTCCACATTTCAAATCAGAGTGTCGCTCACTCTGGGATTCCATGGTAACAAGTAACTAGTGCAACGTTTAAGGTGTTCTGATCACAGCGTGATGCGGCTCGCGACGTTTCTGCTGGACTTTGCTCAGCCCAAATCCTTGGTGGCTGTTGTGGACCGGCTCTGCTGTTGCTGACCTTCAAAGGTCAAACACTAAGTGCAAATAATTTGCTGTATGTACATATGTGTATATATGTATATACAAATATAAATAGATATTATTAATATTATGCATATTCATATATTCTGTGTAGAATTATGAACATATGTATAGAAAAATATAGAAACTTGTTCAGTAGGCAGGCTCCTGATTCAAACCACTTGAAACTTGCAAAACGGCAGCATTGTAAATAGTGTTCAATATTCAAAGTCAGTTTATCTTCTTCAAAAACTGGGGGACATGTCTCCACTTCTGGCCTCGAACAACCCTCTGCTGAACTGACGACAATGACCTAGTTTAAGTAAATCCCACATGGATATGTATTCCAACCCTGGTAGTCACTTTTTGTTCAAAAATAGCACAAAGTTAGGGATGTCCGGGATGTAACGGTGATCCCCTGCCCATCCCCAGCCCATCCATTCCGTCCCAAGGGTCACAGGCCGGATGGGACTCCGCATCCCAAAATGCCGCCCTTTTGCGGCCAGCGCGCTCCGCGCGAGCGGCGTAGACTGACAGGACACCTCCCAGGACCATCTCTGGATGCGGCCGAAGAACAGCACCATGGAATCCAAAGATAATCAGCACCGGTGTATATATATATATAATACATACATTTTTATATTTTATGTAAAGGCTTATATACGTACTTAATCATATTTACAGGTATACATAAAAATGCATATTAAATTGGATTATCTTAACAAAATCCCCATGTATAAGTATAAGTGAGTACTAACTCCTCAAATGATTACGATCAGTAGGGTTATCATTGGGCATTGACCTTGCACCTGGGTAGATTTCCCCAAAGTGTCACTGGCGACACCAGCCAGACATCTGGTAGAAAAGAATCCTTCAGACATTACAGGGTCCTAAATACCATGAACTGGGGTTATCTACCATGTTACGCATGTTATGAATTTGCAAGGATCCTCTCATGTTATTGTAACAATGTAACAATATCATCATCATTGAGGTTATGACATGTTATCTACCACTGTAGTTATCTACCACTCAAATTGTGTTATTATGCAGTCATCACCAGCGTCACTTCCCCAGTGCCGCGCCTGACAGGCCCAACATGGACATGTACCAGGGAGCTGACGCCATGAAACCCACCATGAAAGCTTGACATCGCGAGGCGGAACGAGACCTGAAAAGCGGTGATGAAACCCACCGTCCAAAAACTGGTCTGAAATCCGCCTTTACATGTGCCACATGCACGAAGAGCAGAAACATGTAACAAGTATACAACGTAAATTTTAGTAGGTACTTCCAAGCCTATGAGAGGTTGCACTTGGATGTGCACCAGTCTAGTGAGTGGCTCGCAACCACTCTTGGGAAGATTCATCATGCTTATAGCATATGTACATATATGAACATACATATTATAGTTATAGATCTGTATGATATGTTGCATGTGTATGTATATATATATACAATATATATAATATATGTATATAGGCATAAGCATATACATAAATATACGTATTCAATATATATATATATATAATATATATATATATGAACAGCAGTTTTATCCAGCTACCAACTGGACTCCCCCACCTGCCATCGCTCAGGAAGGCCACAGCTGCCTGAGTATCGCATGGTATCACACATATTCAAAATAGCATGTGCATGTGTATGTGTATAAAATCAAAAACAGTGTATGTGTATAAAATGAAAAACAGAAGGTGCATATACATACATATGTATGTATGTATGTATGTCTGTCTGTATGTATGTATGTATGTTTGTATCTTATTTTATCTTATCTTGTCTTGTCTTATCATGTCTTGTCTTATCTTATCTTATCTTATCTTATCTATCTATCTATCTATCTATCTATGCATGCATGCATGCATGCATGTATGCAATGCTTCATGTGCATATGTCTGGGTCAATTATAGTACCTTAAATAAGACATAATAAGACTATTTTATGGGATGGTTGCCCCTAATTTTCATTCCAGTGAGGGAGAACAGTGAGTTCGCTATAATTTACCCATATCTACATATGTATATTATGCTTCATGTGTCTATGCATACATCCTTATACGTAGTTATACATACAAGGACAATACAATACACACAATGCACTGGTGGCTACTGGGTCCAACCCCCAAAATGCCAATGAATGTTCATAAAAATTAAAATGCCCAAGCTTAGGTTCCACCTTTGCCAAGCTATTTAGTAGCTGTCCTGCCATTGTAGCTCATTAGCCCGGCTGAAACTCCTGTCGGTTGGCTCTGGAAAATGGTGAGTTTCTGGTTGGTGGTTGACCTACCCCTCTGAAAAATGTTAGTCAAATGGGATTATTGTTCCCAATATATGGAAACATATGGAAACATATTTAAAATGTTCCAAACCACCAGTGGTTGGTTATTTCATTCTATTCCAATTTCCAGGGGGCAATCCGCAGCCAAGTGACACCGCGGAGGACCTCAGCTGAGATTTTTCACTGCACCAACAGGAGCAACCGGGCATGTGAAGCCATAGAAAAATAAGGAAAATATATACCTGCGGAATCTTGGATACTTACCTATTATTTTCTTTTAAAGTTGGACTTTGATTTGTTTACAGTCAAACAATGTGTATCTCTGTGCATCATATCCCGGCTCGTGCTTCTAAATCGTCAAACATCAGTTTTATTCCATATCGATCCTGATCCCAAGAAGGCATGCAAAAATGCTTGAAACCACAAGTGATTAGGCTGAATCCATCTGAATCCAATCAAGGTAAGTAAGGTAAGTGTCCTTTCTTCGCCAAAGTTTGGGGATCCAGTGCTACATCCAACAAGATCTCCGACCGCGAGTGCTCAAATAGAACTTCCAATTTACAGCACGGCAGTGTCCAAACAAATTACCTCCTGAAGTGGTCACCCGCAAACGAGCAACATCGAGCAACAATCAGCTTAGCACTCAAGATACTCAAGGTCCTCCTAAGATTTAAGCGTAACAATGCTTAACACTTGGAGCCACGATGAGCCACGGGCCACGGGCCCGTCAGCAATCGTTGAGTTTGTCAAGGAACGCCCAGCAAACCACCGAAGCTGGTCCAAAAGAGCCCGGTGCGCCAAGGTGCACCATCCTCTTGGACATCCTGAGGGCGATGCCAGCCCACTTCAGCTCCAGAGGTGTGCCATGGTGTGCCACTGCATACTCCCAAGTGCTCTCATTGGCTGACCATGTGACTATGCCAAATAGATAGAAAATGATAGAAATTTAGTACATCCTTTCGTCAACATAGCACTTTATTTCCCAAATTGTTGATAAAAACAACCATGGATTTTTTCATCAACAAATGGTGCAATGTGGCCCCCCGTTATAAGTTGGTTTATACACCTCATTAACTATAGTTATAAGATGTTATAAGATGTTACAAGATGTTATAAGATGTTATAAGATGTTATAAGATGTTACAGTATAAGATGTTATAAGTTTGATAAACCATAGTTATTGGAGTTATAAACCAACTTAGCTATCGAAAACGGGGGCCACATTGTGGGATTGTGCTTTCTCCTGGCTGCAGATGGGCCACTGGAAGCATTCGTCCCAGCCAAGGCTCGGGGGCCGGGATGATCACCGGATATCCCTGGGATGGGATGGGGAAGTTATTGGTAGGGGAGAGACACGAGCACATTTCGATCAAAGATGCAACGAAATAAATAAGGTGAAATGAGAAACTTTTTCTAAAACATCAACAAGTTGAAAAACCATTCCAACCTAAAATTTCAGATCAAAAATCATGGACCCCAATTTGAAAAACATGTTCGCTGCGACCCTGATGTTTGCCCAAGCTGATCTCGCATATCCTTTGACATGCTCAAATCCCTGCGTACGACCCTAAAACCCTAAATCCTAAAACTCTAAATCCTAAAACTTAAAGTCAAAATCCCTGCGTAAAGCCGGTGTTTTCGTTCATCCTCAGGTGACAAGTATATGATATTGTCTGGGTGTTATTTGTGCATAGGCGAACCTCCGGTGTGGGGCGAACATGTTTCAACCACTTTGACCATACCAACAACTCCCCCATCATTTCCACCTCAGATGCTCGTTTTCTGGAGCTGTCTACCACTGGGCTTGGTCGCCTAGGCTCGGTGGCCGAGGCACCAATGCCATCCTACTGCAGAAGTGTTCTCTGTTAGAAAAGCCTCCAGTGACCTGCCACAAAACCACCATGTAGGTGTGGCTCATTTCACCCAAAAAACCCCATGAACAGAATAGACTCTACTGAAACGTTCATGTACGCTGTATATGTCCGGTTTGAGAATCTATGCTGTTTTTCATGTGGTGCACCCAATTGTACACCATCCAATATCATCACCATGTTGGGTGCTATAAATTTATCATCCCCTTAAATGGTAGTTCTTTACTATCAAAATGAGGTTTCCATAGGTTTCCCACATTTATCCGGGCGGCTCCAAAGGCAGCAAAGCATAACTTTCGCGGACCTCGGGAAACGCCGTGGAAGATGATCCATGTGATGCCATGAAAAATCCTCCAGCCACGACTTTTTCGGCCCCTGCACGTGCCTCACGCCAGCTGCGACCACCGTCGACAACCATGGGGCGTTTGATCTTTTTTGCAGGATGAGGACCAGCAACGGCAGAAATTCATTGAAAGTCTGGTATTGAAATAGTAAATGTGACGAAAGTGTCAGACTGAGACTGGGTACTGTATGGAAACTAAACAAAAACACCTTGATTTGTTTCTGCGAAGCAAAAGCACGGTTTCACACAGGGACGGCTTTTTGAGGGTCTCCACCCCCTAAGCCACGTAATACCACTTTGACAAGTTTTTTGCACGTCGTCTTCTGCCAGGTCCGCTACTCAGGGGCTCGGCAGCAGGGAAGTGTTTGATGAATTTTTGGTTATGTTTGGCTGAATTTTGGCCCATGTGTTTTTGATAGGGTTTCTTTGAATCAATATGTTCTGCTGGTCGCTTCTTGAATTGGCTGGAGGTTTTTGGCCGCGATGCCAGTATTGGCATAAAAATGTCCATTTTTCTGTGTGTAGCTAAAAGGTTTTTAGCTGCGCGTTTGACATCTGCAGGGATAGTATCAGCCCAAGATTTGATCTGGTTGCGTTAAGAGCTGATACCTGATGAGTATTTTTCCATTTTTAAGAGCGTGCCAGTGATAGTCTTGACGAAATCCCTTGCTTTTTTCGCAAGCTCATGGTGGGCTATAGCACACATGTTGTGTGGCAAGCGGGCCCTTTTCGTTGAAGAGGCTTTCGATTTTCCTTTTATCATATTTTTTGCGCCTGTGCCCAAATTTGTGGTATTGTGACCCTTGGGACCCCAGGAATGGTCCTGGTGTAGGCATTTCTCTTGCCAATGGCTTGGCAGTACTAGCGTTTTTTCAGTCTCAAATTTGTTCTCAGGTCGATGATTGATCTGGAAAAAATAGACACGTGATATTGGCATGATTGCCTTGTTCGCAGTACGTATTTTATTCACAAAGGTAAAATTTTTTTCTTAGTTATCTAGTTTACGTTGATGGTCTTCACCATTGGATCCTTCTTTGCAGGTGTGGCTGGCATGTTTAAGCGCGCTATCCCAGAAAAAGTTTCGAGCTTCTTCTCTGAATGAGCCTTGGTAATTCTAGCAAGAGTTGTGAACTGTAATGCTGTCCTTCAGCAAAGGTTGTCACCCCGACATGTGATCAGTTGCAATCTTCCTTCTGCAAGATTTCGCCTTGGGTTTTTTCCTGATTTTTGCGGCGGCATTTTTAAAGTTATGCATTGTGGTCATGGCACTGCGCCTCCTCCACCGCCTCCACGTGCTGAATTTCATCAGGCTGCGCATCCCGGTTTTCCTTTGCAGCAGATGAATCAGATGAGTGGTGGGTACTTTCTTCCTCAGCACATGATGGTCCCTCCTGGGGTTTGGGCACCTAGCCATGGAATGCCAGTTACGCACCGTTCACATGAGCGGTCGCGGTCACCCAGAGGATCGCATGATGAGGTGGCTTCCTTGCTTTCTCGGCTTCCCCCTGCTGAGTTCAAGAAGGTTTTCAATGATTTGCCGGCATCTCTTCGAAGCGTAGCCTTTGATGCTCCTGATGGCATCATCACGGACGTTAAGTCCATCTCTGACAAAGAGTCTCGCATGGAGATGTGTCGAAAAATCAACAATCTTCGTCGAGAGAGAATCCAAGCTCTCGCGACACCCCAGGCAGCCCCTTTTTATGCCGAGGATGGCATGAAGATTGTACCTATGAGCCGATTGACTGAGCGGCATTTCTGGGATGTCTTCCATAGGATCCCGTTGAATACCACGGATCCAGTCAAATGGAAGAGCATTCTCAAATATTTGGATGCATGCCCTGAAAAACCACGTTCATCACCCAACGCTCGTGATATTGAGTGGGCAACCCCAGATCTGCCCTTTGAGGCTGCTCCAGGTGCTGCTTCGCCTCCCCGAGGTTCCCTGGATGCATTGAGGGCCATGGCTGTGGACTCACCCGCTCAGAAAAAGGAGGATACTACCTCCCCAGATTTCCATGACTGGGTGAAACGGCGGGTCGACACAGACACTGCCAGCCTCACTATGACCAATTTTGAGTTGGACACCAAGGCGCACCGCATTGCTGGGCGTAAGACCCCGGCCGCCAAGGCCTTGTTGGCCCTGTCGCCCTTGGAAGCCATGAGTGATCTATACCAGACAGTCTTCCGCATTTATTTGCGAAAGCTGGAGCGAATCATGCCGAAGCTCGGCGCAAAAACAAAAGAGAACACATGCCTCAACAAGCTCTTGGATGCTTTGAATGTCAGCCCTGACGAGAAAGTTCCGATCCTTCTGGCTCGGCTTCGCGCCCTTGACATTGTGCGAAGGCCTTCCTGAGTTGAGCTATTTTCTGCTGATCCTGACCTGAGTGCTGCCCTGAAAGCTGCCCTTGATGTTGTTTTGTTGTTGCGTTTTCGTTTGTTTTTAGTCTCACGCCGTTCTTGGGAGGACCAATTTCTGCTGATTAGCCTGGCAGGGAGTCTTTGGCTGATGTTGTTACAGGTTTTGCCTTCAAGGAGAAATGTGCGTTTATTGAAGCTCATTGGCTCTGACCCGTGGGCCCATGGATGGCAACTTCTCCATCAGTCACCATGCCTTTATATTATTTTTCCTTATCCTTTAAGATGTTCTCGTTTTGGGCCCTTGTTTTACATTGGTGAAACAACGAGCTTTCGGCGGCGTATGGTGGAACACCTCCTTCGCCTCATTGCTCAAGATGGTGCGACCCAGCAACCGTTTTACCAGGTTGTTCGGCACAACTGCTGTCAAGGGACACAGTTGCTTGCCGCCCTGAGTTTTTTGATGATGTTGCCGGTGCATCTCGCTCCCGTGGATACTGGCGAGCGGCTTTTGGCTGAAACCGCCCTTTGCCATAGTCTGGGCACTTTGAATCCGCCGACGGTGTATAGTTTGCTTCCAAAAACAAAGCAGCGGCAAGTGCAGGGTCTTCGTATCTTTGATTCTTTTCGCTCTTTGTGTAGGCTCCGCCCTTCTCAACCTGCTGCAGGGGAAATGTCTTTATCCTCTTCTGTGGGTCTTATTCGGAAAGAGTGGCGTGATGGTCTTCAAAAAATTGCTGCCGCGCTGGCTGGGCGGCGTTTTGAAAAGTCAAACGCTGCCGCTCTCGCGGCATGGAATTTGAGTCCCAGTGCCTGGGCTTATGTGGCTCGCCGAGTTGACCAATTTGAAACAGGTTGGCGGCGAAAGCGGGGCCTTCATCTTTTAGGTATCATCTCCAAGAAACGGAGAGACCTTTGCCCTTTTGTGTCATCTGTTGCGGTGTCTGTCCCCTGGATGGGTTCCACATCGGCACTGCGCATTTTGCGCGGTGAAATTCGTGAATTACTTTCCGCATGGAGACGGAAGGGGCACTGGGTTCCCATAGCAAGGCATGCAAAGTGCTTTGTTTCGTGGACTGCTCCCCCTACTTTGGCAGATTGTTTGACAAGCACGTCAGTTTTGCGCCAAGCTCTCGAAGAGGGTGTTTCCCCACAGTGTATCTGTGAGGCTGTGCGCTTGCAAAATCCTGGCTGGCCTGTCGTTACTTTTGACGGCTGTGAGCACATCGCCGCCCCCCAGGGTATGGTGCCTTGGCCTGAACAGTTACGGCATCTCGCTCGGTGGCCAGCAAGCATCGGCCTCCCGCCTCGTTTTGAGGATGTGGTTTCTGCAGTTCGGACGTCTTTTCGGAGGCTTCGTAATCGATGCCGTATTCCGATTTCGGACTCCTGTACAGTGGAAGCAGTGCAGCGCTGCTGTTCCTCCTTGTGGTCCTTGCCTGTCCAAGACAGTCGAGTCTCAATAACTTGGTCTCACGTTGGTGAAGCAAGGGAGTGGCTCCAAGCGCAGGGTGTTTTCGTCTCTGTGTTTGACCACAACCCCTCTTCATTGGGAGTTTTTTGTCCCAAGTTGGTTTTTGAGCATGCTTGTCAGTTATTGGATTTCTTGCATCATCAAAAACCTGATGCGAATTTTGCTTGGTCGGTCTCGGATATTGGTCGTCAGCGGGATGTGCTGAGTGGCATGGCTAACATGTCAGACCTTCCTTCACATTTGATTCCCGGTTTGCACACTGTCGTTTCTAAAAGGCAGTGGTGCATTGCCACAGTTTCTTTTTTGCCAAAATGGAAATGTCCAGGGTTGAAGTGGCGACTTATTGTCAACAAGCACTACACCCCGTGTTGTGGCTTGCATTCGCTTGTTTCACGGGGTCTAGACATTCTTTTGGATAGTTTCCCACGGCATTTATGGAGTGACTACCTCTCCATGGGTGAAGTGGTGTCTTTGGTCGGTGATTTTAATCTCCATGTTCAGGATTATCAGTTTGATGTTGGTTGTACAGCTGCCGCTGATATGAAGGATTGTTTCCGGCATCTTCCTTGTGAGCGTTTTGCCGACATGTGGGATGGTCTGGCTGCTTACTGGAAAGGGCTGGGTCTTTCTTGTGTTAGTGTCCCCCACAAGCGTTTAGGCTGTCGTGGTATCCTTGGTCGATGTGATGACCCTGGTTGGACCTGTATAGATTTCGCATCAATTCGTAAGATTTTGTTGGCTTTTGCAACCACTAATCACGTTGCCATAGGTTCGTGGTTAGGTCGTGAACAGCATGGTGCCCCTCAAGGAGATGCCTTGAGTTCTGCGCTGCTGAGGCTATGGAAATGGCACCGTGAATTCCACTGTGGTGTGGCTGCGGTCGCTGAAAGCGTGCCAATACCAGCCAGTAAGTGTAAGCTGCTGCACCTTTTACAGTCTAACGTTTTGGTGCTAGATGTTTCGTACCGTGATGATCTTCGCATGTTTTTTGCATGGCGTTCATGCTCGGCACTTACGCCTGATGTTGTCCGATCCTGGGCATGGGTACAGTGGCGCCAGCGATTTGTTGTTGGCACGATGTCTTTGGATAAAGCGGATGACAATGTTTTTACAGGTTTGCAGGTTGCTTGGGATGGTGCATATATCTCTTTGTGGCCCTGTACGTCGGATCCCTGGGCTGCCCACTGCTATGGGGAAACTGACAACTTTCCTCTCAAACCATGGCAGTCATGGGCACCCCCACAGCAGTTTAAAACAGCTGTAAGGGGTTTGTTGTGTAGGTCCTGGTATTTCTCCACCTCGCGTGCTGCACTAAGCGAAGCGCTATGGGAGGTTTTTGTGGCACTTGTTTATCGTGCTAATTTCCCTTGGCATTTCGTCAGACAACATTCCAAGGTTTGGGCGTTGTCCTGGGTGCCGAAGGGTGAGTTGCTGCCCATCCCCACTCTTTTTTCTGATGTGGAATGTGTTGTTGGTCGCTTTGAAAACTCCCTGGTGATGATTCAACCTTGATTTGTTTCTGCGAAGCAAAAGCACGGTTTCACACAGGGACGGCTTTTTGAGGGTCTCCACCCCCTAAGCCACGTAATACCACTTTGACAAGTTTTTTGCACGTCGTCTTCTGCCAGGTCCGCTACTCAGGGGCTCGGCAGCAGGGAAGTGTTTGATGAATTTTTGGTTATGTTTGGCTGAATTTTGGCCCATGTGTTTTTGATAGGGTTTCTTTGAATCAATATGTTCTGCTGGTCGCTTCTTGAATTGGCTGGAGGTTTTTGGCCGCGATGCCAGTATTGGCATAAAAATGTCCATTTTTCTGTGTGTAGCTAAAAGGTTTTTAGCTGCGCGTTTGACATCTGCAGGGATAGTATCAGCCCAAGATTTGATCTGGTTGCGTTAAGAGCTGATACCTGATGAGTATTTTTCCATTTTTAAGAGCGTGCCAGTGATAGTCTTGACGAAATCCCTGGCTTTTTTCGCAAGCTCATGGTGGGCTATAGCACACATGTTGTGTGGCAAGCGGGCCCTTTTCGTTGAAGAGGCTTTCGATTTTCCTTTTATCATCATCTCAACTGGCTTTCAATCAATTGGAGTTTGCTGGATCCTTTCTGTTTAAAACCTGATTGATACTCTACACTACTTGTGGTCTCGCCTTGCATTCTTCACATTTGCAGTACCTGCCTAGACACGATAGAAGAGACAAGCCAAAGGCTTTGGTGAAAAGCATAGCTGAAGATCAACACAAAGTGGTTTTGCAGCATGCTCCAGCTAAACTAACATAACTATGGAAAATCACCATTTTCTAGCTGGGTAAATCCACAATTTCGACTGGGCCATTTTTTCCAGTTCGCAAACTGTGGCTGTTTACATTAGTTTACCAGAGGCTAACTCACAAGACCAAACCCGTCATCAAACAATCTGCGACCTAAACCTTCGCCGATGCCCGCGGGCCCATGCCTACAGCCTCTCAGAAAACTCGCATGATTCATGGGGTTTAATACTATCCCGGATAAGAACTATCCCCCTGAATGTCAAACAAACATTCCAAATAGAAAATATTAACTCATCACCCCCAAATGGTTTACCACCTTGTTCTTGTATATTCTTGTCCCCAGAATGGTGAAAAGTATCTCCGAAAGGGTGTATCTAAAAATGGTGGATACCCCAGAATAAGAATTGCTTTGGGATAACTATTTTGGGGTGTGCTATTCTCAGGCAACCCCTCCCCAAACCTGGTTTTCCATCTCTTTCACTGCTTCTTGTTAGTGGGGATCATCCCACATCATCTAAATATGCTTGAAAATAACAGAAAAAACACATCTTTGAAACTACCAACTAGTGGATACGTACCCTGTTTCCTCAAAGAAGTTGGACATAACTTCCAAAATGGCTGAAAATCAAGCCTTTCACCTACCCAATGTTCACCCCTACCACCGGTCACCGTGCGCTCCCCGTGGAGATCGATGGCTCCTCCACCGCCGTCTCCAGTGCCACATCTAACGGCCGCCGTGCAAAGGCGGCGTCGGACGTGACATCAGCCTGGATGCTGGGAAAATCCCAGATAGATTGAATAAACAGATTAAATAGATAGATTAAACAGGCAGATTAAATAGACAGATTAAATAGACAGATAAAAGAGACAGATTAGATAGACAGATTAAATAGATAGATTAAACAGACAGATTAAATAGATAGATTAAACAGGCAGATTAGATAGACAGATTAAATAGACAGATAAAAGAGACAGATTAGATAGACAGATTAAATAGATAGATTAAACAGACAGATTAAATAGATAGATTAAACAGGCAGATTAGATAGACAGATTAAATAGACAGATAAAAGAGACAGATTAGATAGACAGATTAAATAGATAGATTAAACAGACAGATTAAATAGATAGATTAAACAGGCAGATTAGATAGACAGATTAAATAGACATATTAAATAGACAGATTCAATAGATAGACTAAACAGAAAGATTAAATAGATAGATTAAACAGGCAGATTAGATAGACAGATTAAATAGATAGATTAAACAGACAGATTAAATAGATAGATTAAACAGGCAGATTAAATAGACAGATGAAATAGACAGATAAAAGAGACAGATTAGATAGACAGATTAAATAGATAGATTAAACAGACAGATTAAATTGATAGATTAAACAGGCAGATTAGATAGACAGATTAAATAGATAGATTGAACAGACAGATTAAATAGATAGATTAAACAGGCAGATTAAATAGACAGATTAAATAGACAGATAAAAGAGACAGATTAGATAGACAGATTAAATAGATAGATTAAACAGACAGATTAAATAGATAGATTAAACAGGCAGACTAGATAGACAGATTAAATAGACATATTAAATAGACAGATTAAATAGACAGATAAAAGAGACAGATTAGATAGACAGATTAAATAGATAGATTAAACATACAGATTAAATAGATAGATTAAACAGGCAGATTAGATAGATAGATTAAATAGATAGATTAAACAGACAGATTAAATAGATAGATTAAACAGGCAGAATAAATAGACAGAGATGAAATAGACAGATAAAAGAGACAGATTAGATAGACAGATTAAATAGATAGATTAAACAGACAGATTAAATAGATAGATTAAACAGGCAGATTAAATAGACAGATTAGATAGATAGATTAAATAGATAGATTAAACAGGCAGATTAATTAGACAGATTAAATAGACAGATAAGAGAGACAGATTAGATAGACAGATTAAATAGATAGATTAAACAGACAGATTAAATAGATAGATTAAACAGGCAGATTAGATAGACAGATTAAATAGACATATTAAATAGACAGATTCAATAGATAGACTAAACAGACAGATTAAATAGATAGATTAAACAGGCAGATTAGATAGACAGATTAAATAGATAGATTAAACAGACAGATTAAATAGATAGATTAAACAGGCAGATTAAATAGACAGATTAAATAGACAGATAAAAGAGACAGATTAGAAAGACAGATTAAATAGATAGATTAAACAGACAGATTAAATTGATAGATTAAACAGGCAGATTAGATAGACAGATTAAATAGACATATTAAATAGACAGATCCGTCCTAATGGGGAGGTGTTTCTGTATGATTGGGTAAACACCACAATTTTCTTTCACTAGAGTCACTAGGAACATGATGGAGAACCCACATTTTGCACGTTTCCACACAGCATGATCAATGATTACAAATATGTGTGAGTGTGTATATATGTATATATATATATACATATGCGTATTCGTGAAATGAAGGGAGGTAGCCCTGGCAACTTCCCCCCTCTGATTCTGAAGTTGATTTTTCTCTAGGTTTGTCTGATCGGAATTTTCCTAGGAGACTAGAAACAGCTGGGGGTTATGAGGATTTAAGCAGTTACCCTCTGGTAAACTAACATAACTATGGAAAATCACAATTTTTTTTATGGGTAAATCAACTATAAATGGCAATTTTCAATAGCTATGTTAGTTTACCAGAGGGTAACAAGCTGGTAAACCGAGATGTTTAGCCAGAAATCCATAATTTGAATCGACGGATGCCGACGGTTGTAGATTGACAATGAGAAATGTCCACTGCCGTGCTACCGTGAAAAAGACAATCTGGTTACTGAATTCAACTTTTTCGTGTGCTCCAATCTTTAGAGACGTAAAATCCTAAACATGTCTTGATCTTTAAAGTGGTGATCAAAAAAAATTGCCAATCTCTACTGAATTCACTTTTTGGCCAAACAATGTTTTGATCCACTGGAAATTTCTCGGGGCCAAGGCCTCGTCCCAGTTCAATGGAAGCTCTTCGGCCAAGGTGTCGTAAAGCTGTCGCAGAAGACGTGGCTTGTAGCCGATTCTGCAGGCTGCTGGGTTTCTGCTGGTGTTTAGTTTGTTGCTTGAAATAGAAGGGATACTCATTCTATGGGGCTGTAGACATTTATTACCATTTATGCGAATGTATGGGTTTGTTCAAAAATAGGGTGCCAAGACAATCCTATCATATCCAGTCATGTATCATCATGTTCACTCTTAGAAACGTTATATTTAGAGCATTTTGGAGCTATCCCCCATTTTGGACTATTTTCTGGCTTCTCTCGATTCAGTGCTTCATCATTTTCCCCTTTAGAGATTGCCAAATTAGAGGTGGTACATCTCCCTTGCCGTTGGTTAATAGCCCGAATAAAATGAATACCCATTATGCCACCGTTAGTTAATACCCAATGGTTGATCTTAGACGCCTATTCCTATTTTTGTTGATTGTTGATAGTGAAAAATTCCAATTGTTTTTTGGTGCAGTTGGGGTTTTTCCAAACCGCGCGGAAAACTCTACGTAATAAACACCATCAGTTGGGACATTGGAGCCCCAAAAATTGGAGCCCTGGAACTATGATTCTACATCCACTTGTGGAACTGCACCCGCAAGTATTCCACACATAGTTAAATCCCAATTGTTGATAGTCAAATCCCAATTGTTGATGGTTAGATACCTATTATTTTTGAAGGTTAGCCATCTATTTTTGGTGCTTAAATTATATAATCCCTATGTTTGATGGTTAAATAACCTATCTTATCATAACTTATGATGTTTTTTTGTCCCTATCTTATACTCGCCTTGCGGCTTCCTGCAGCAACTGTGCCAGTTGCACTTTGGAGAACCTGAAGCGTTTGAGACCAAGGAATTCACCAGAAATTCATGGTGGCAGAATGGGGACAACATGTGATACACACCTGAAAAAACAAAGTGGATTTACCCTGTGATGATTTTTCACAGTTTTCTACGGAAAGATCTTCATAAAATGATAGGTAAAACATGGTAAATCATCAAACTAAACGAGCCATGGCTTTCATAGCTATGTGAAATTGCCAGAGGGATCCAGAGGGTATACCCCATATATCTTGACCATTGTACTTTTCAACCATCATTCGTGGCAAAAAAACGTCACTGTTGTTGACTTGCAACCATTTTTGGCAAGTCTTGAAGTGGTGGGTGCTTCGGGGGTGTGCAAAAGGGTATCTTGTCGTTCTTGGTTGGTCACCACTCAAGCCTTTGTTCTCACTGACTCCGGAATTGGTTTGTTATAAACCGTTGCAGCTACTCCATGTTTTTCTTCAAGAGATTCTATCATACCAAGCCAATTTTCGCTGGTTAGACCATGACAATGTATATATGATTATATATACGTATATATATATATACGTATATATGTATATATATATATATGTATATATATGTATATATATATATATATGTATATATGTATATATATACGTATATGTATATATACGTATATGTATATATATATATATACGTATATTTTTATACGTATATATATATCCATATATATATATACGTATATATATATATGTATGTATATATATACGTATGTATATATGTATATATATACGTATATATATATATACGTATATTTTTATACGTATATATATATATATATCCATATATATATACGTATATATATATGTATGTATATATATATACGTATGTATATATGTATATATATATATGTATAATATATATATATATATTTATTTATATTTATACATACGTATCCTTCCAACTCACGTGGATCCAAATGGCAAGGACAAGTACGAACCGTCTTTTGCACATCAAGCAATATCAACCAATTTTCCGATGATAAATGATGATCATCCCATAAATCCTATATTCCAAGTATCATCTATGCCCACAACTGGACGAACTGGACCCCCAGCACCTCTGATTTTCCAGCTGCTGTAGCACCATGCGCTCCGAAGTCTTTTGGAGCTTGCTCCGCAAGCCGCTGAAGTCCACCTGCGCCATGGCATGGGGCTGAACTCCATGGTGAGTCGATCGTGAAAAACCATTGGGATTTTAAGATTTGGACATATTTGGGTATAGATATATGTGCACATATCTCCATATCTGTTGATATCTAGATATACAGCATATGGTAGTGTTAGCATATTTCAACATTGCTCAACATGTTTCTATATGGTGTGACACGTTTTTACGCGTGTTCAATAAAGTTCAACATGTTGACATACGTATGTATATATATATATATAGAGAGACATACTTACATTAAACGTAGTTTGGTTTTTAGTTTAAACAAAAACTGTGTCAACGACATATATACATATATAAATTAAGTAGATATATGACTATGTATATATATATGTATATTATATATATTATATTGATGATATATAAAACCTTGACACACGTAACGAGTTATTACTTACTTAACGTAGCTTGCGTCGTTGCCGCAAACCTCTGAGGATGCCCCAGCTGCGCTTCTCATGGAGCTGAGCGGCAACTGCGCCCGCACCTGCACTTCAAACAAAAGCGCGGCGGTTTGGGACATGGACGATGAGGAAAGACATGTGGCGTCGGTCAGTAATCTATTTATTGTGTATACTAAATATAATATATATATATATACGTATAGACACAAGGCATATCGAACATATATGAAAATATGTTGGATGGGTACACAGTGGTTAGAGTTTGATACTATATGGGAAAATGTCTGCTGTTTTTTTTGTGTGTACAATAAAAATCAATATTTGAGCGAGAAATCATGATGCAAAGCCCCGTCATAGGATGAACCAGGTTTTTCTGACTCGCGATTGTGGCAACACAAAAATCCGCAGTGTCGCGTTGATGCCATCTCAACCCTACCAAAATCCTCTTCTAAAACTCATACAAAGCAATCCATAGAATCTGTTAAAAAATGATCCACGATGAAACATTCTCCAAGAATTCGTCCATGAACACACTGTTGCTATCAAGATGCAAATGAAAAAGACACGAATTTTAGACACATCTCCATTCCGTGAAAAAAACTGTTTTTATCATTCCGACAATGTCATGTTTGGATGTTGACAATCCATGACAATCCAATAGTTACCTGCATTATTGAGAGAAACATAGAGAAACTAATACATTACTAGTTGGTGGTTTCAACCCCTCTGAATAATATTAGTCAGTTGGGTTATTATTCCCAATATATGGAAAAATAATAAATGTTCCAAACCACCAATCAGATTATGTATCCAGTTGTGCTGATATTCCAATATTTCAATGATCCCAACGGGTGATGGGTCCAGGGCCTTTGGTCCTGCGCGAGCCAGAACGTAGTCCACCTTGGCAATTCAGAACTTTTTGGTGTTCACTGGGGTTTGGACCGTTTGGATGCGCGGCATTCCTGTTCCCAAGGAACAGAGAGAGAGAGAGAGAGATTTCTTCGCAATGCTTAATATGCTTAATGGAATACTGATACTGATTGTTTCCTATTGAGAGCTGGTCCATTTTGGCGATGTTGTCGGCGGAACATCGGGACGGCTTTGCGCAGTTAGTATCCGTTGAAATGGACTATGCATGACTTTGGACCTTTGATGTTTCTCATGTTTGGCGCCCTGTTCTGGATACCCAATCGCCCATGATGTGGGGAGATAGCATGACATACCGTAAAATCACCACTAGCTTGCCTTCTGATCAGGATGTGTATGCTGCCCAACAACATGGATCGCAAGCGCACCAAGTTGAATGCAACAAAACATCCAAAAGACTAAGACCAGCAACCGACCCACACGCACAGAAAGAGAATGCCTATCAACTTGTGATTAGTTGTGTACTTTGCTGACCAAAGACAGTATAGCATTCCAATGATAGTCAGGTTCTTCTAACCCCATGACTGCGCCAAACCAGTACAATGAAATTCCAAGTCTTGGCTCATGTCAGGCTCAGTCAATTTGTCAAACTTGCGCACTCCTGACAGTTTGAAACTCTCTGGGCTCATGAGGCAGAACCCAAGCAGCAAACATATTTTCTATGTGCCGGGATGGTTATCCTACTCCCCCCCCTGGTAAATTCGGAACAGAAAATGACAGTGCTGGGGTCAACCCAATCTGCCACCAAGGGACGCCCTTGCCCACGGTTGGATCGGCACCCAGCTGCAAGAGCTTCAGTGACGTTTGCTCCTGGTGCCCGGCCAAATCACGTGGCTACTCCTAGAAACTCTTCAAATTGGGAAATATGTGCTACGAGTACCACTGAGGAAAATGTAGCCTCTAAAAGTAAGAATCCTGAACATATCCCGAGGTGTTTTCATCTTATGGCGGACTTGGCTGCCTGTCCTACAGAAGCATCAATTCAATATTTCACATGACAGGTTTAGGTGCGATGCAAATTGGGCACAAAAAAATGGGAGCCTTACATAGCCTTACCCACACGAAAAGCCATATCACAGCACTGAAATAACTTTTACAACTACTAGTTGGTGGTATACCTACCCCTCTGAAAAATATGAGTTCGTCAGTTGGGGTTACTATTCCCAATATATGGAAAAATAAAAGTCATGTTCCAAACCACCAACCAGTTACTAATAATTCACCATGATTAACCAGTATTAACCATTAATAATCCCTATAGCCCTATAGCACCAACCAGATATTGTTCCAAAGCACCAACCAGACTAGGAACATCACCTCTCTCAAGGCCATTGTTTCAGGTGAACCTATCGGTTCCAGGCTTTGTCGATGGGCTATCCCCAATGCCTTGATGTGGATTCCCTGGAGATACGACAAGGATTATGAGAATCCCCTGGTCGTATTCGGATTGTACCCCATGCATTGCCAATCTTAGATACCCTGCAAAAAAATAAATTATTTGATGGTTAGTAGATATTCCCATTGGTGCCAAAAGACTAGTTAGGATTAGTTAGTATCCATCTAAGATTGACAATGCATGACTGGTTGGTGGTATACCTACCCCTCTGAAAAATATGAGTTCGTCAGTTGGGATGATGACATTCCCAACTGAATGGAAAGTCATAAAAGTCATGTTCCAGTCACCACCAACCAGTTGATCATCAACCAACAGCCCACCTTGCCAGCATCCAATGCTCGATCCAGGGCGCTACTTCCAAAGCGAGGGTCCTGCACGCATCGCAGAAAAGTCACCATGGTGGATGGCTCGGCCCAATGGAGGATGAAATCACATCTTTAGGACCAGAAAATGGAGGTGTTTCATGCAAACGGATGGGATAAGAGGAAACTTTGATCATGCAAATTCATGGAAATTTAGTGTTTCTCGCAACTTTCTCTATGGTATTCTGCGAGGCAGCTTGAGACTTGACAAATAATCAGTTATTCTATCGACTTCAGGGTGACATTATCTCCATGTATCTATCCATCAGTCTATCCGACAATCTATGACAATCTATATAGCAGTCTACCTGTCTCTGCATAGATATGCATCGATGTCTGAGTCTGTCTACATATCCATGTGAACCACCGTGAAAACTCTAATACCTTGTTTAAAAGCGTGGTAACGGTTTTTTTTGGGGGGGGCCTATCGCTAACTATGGTCTTGTACTCATGAAGATAAAGGAACAAATCTGTGGAAGGAAAGGAAAAGGAAAAGAAGAGGAAAGGAGCAGGAAAGAAAGAGAGGAAAGGAAGAAGAGAGGAAGAGGAAAGGACGAAGAAAGGACGAGCAAAAAAAAACAACAAAAGAGGAAGAAAAAAGAAAGCGGAAACAAGAGGGAACGAAGAGACAAAAAGAGGCAAAAAAGAGAAAAAAGAGGAAGAGGAAGCAGCGTCTCTTATTGCGGAAGAGGAAAGGAAGAGGACATGAAAGGAAGAAGGGTCTATCTGTGGTCTGAGGCCACCTTTTGAACAAATGGGTATCTCTAAGGTATCACTAGGGATATCCCTACTTTCGCCTCTTTCGTGTGCGCAACTTTGTGTAAACCAGCTTCAGATGCAGGCATCGCTTTTGGGGGGGCCTGTCGCTGCACAGTGTTTCGCGCACTTTCCAGACACGAAGTGAGCAAAGTGGTCTACCAGTCTACCAGTTTTGACCGTACCTCATATGTATCTATATGTCCATCCCACCATCGATCCAGGCTCTTAACGCGTGATGTGTGCCAAATATCCGAATAGGTGTGGGTGCGAGGTTTGTGTATGAATTCTGCCAAGAAAGCTTGAGCGAAGTAGGACATTTGGGCACAGGATCGACAGAAGTTATCGCCTCATCAACCAGAAAAAATACACGCAAAATAGTCCACAAACACCACAGGAACAAACATCTACACCAAGGAACAAACATGGACACCCAATCAATCAGAGCAAGAAAGGTACTTGCATCATCTAAGATCAGCACCATGGAATCTATATGTTTTATGTAGCGAAAATCCCGTCGCCGACCCCGGCGACCCCCGGCCTTGGAATTCACATCTGCACCGCAGTCCTTCACCAATTTCTCCACGAGCCTCGATTGTGGCCAACCTCTTCTGGGATGTCAAGTGAGCCATTCAAATACCCGCGATTTCAGCCCCTATCCCATCTCATTATACTACTTGGATCTACTTGGCTAATAGGTTTCCATACTATCTGTTGCCATATGACTCAGCAAAAACCAGGTAGACATTGAAATAAGAACCCATATCAACAACCATATCTTTTTACTCGATCAACTTAGGATTTTCAGAGTTCCCCCCTTTTTTCCCTCCCTTTTTTCGAGGCTTCCCTGCGACTCTCCCCTGATTTTTTTTAGGACCAAAAAATCCCTCCGAGTCCCCGGAGTTTTGCTTTTGGGGAAATGAATTTCTTGATCCCTCATGGTTTTACTCAAAAAAAAGTAAAAATAAAAGACAAGAAAATAGTCAAAAAACCATGAGTAAAAACATAAAATGCAACATCATCCCGAAAATGATCCATTTCTGACTATTCTTTGCATATCTTTGCATCACACGTGATAGTTTTGGATCGTGTTGGATGCTCACAAAGGGTACCTCCCATGCGTGGTGTGCCTCCAAAAACCTGGTTCACCTTGTTGACCTTGTGGGGGTTATTAAGTTGGTCTTACCATTATCCATCACTGAAATGATGGTTGAATGGATGGAGATTGGATGGGATTGGATGTAAGTAATTGCATGACATCTCTTGATATTTCCCAGTCTTTGAGGTTTAGAACCCAGTGTTGCTATCCATTCGCCAAGGAGAAACTCCAAAATCTATCCCTGACATGATGAGACTTTGAGGCTTTGAGGACACTATCAACATGATGACAACCATTATATCATTATATGGTACTTTTGCGCCATACCATATACCCATGTTGCATTTCGATGTATAGCTTCTGGTAAATCATTGGACTCTTTTTGGGTTTTCGTTTTCGCGATATGAAAAATCACCAAAGGTAAATCCAAATCCGTTGAACTCACCAGAAATCACCATGTTTATCAGTAAATCATCTATTTCAATGGGTGTTTATCAGTAAATCATCTATTTCTATGGGGTTTTCCTAAGACATGGAGCAAGCAGCCTCGTCATCCCCTGCGCGGCCGCTGCGCGCATTAATGGATCAGAATCCCTCAGGGCAACTCAGCGGCAGGATATGCTGGGGCCATGAAAAAACAAAAACACCGATATATTGCAATATTACATATAAATGTAATGTAATGTAATATATATGTATATGTATACATGAAACAAATTATAATCCAATATAATCATATAATCTAATGTAACTTAATATCATATGGTATGGTATAATATAGTATATATATATATAGAGTTTAATTTAATATAACATAATACAACATAATATAATATACACAGCCCCGGTAGATTTCCCAGATGGTGGACGACTACCGGTAGACGATTTCATCCAAGGTTTCCGGATCATCGGATTTTCGCCATAGAAAAGGCGTTATGTGCATCGGCCATGACATTTCCATGGCTGCAAGTTGTGAATTTACTGAAAACCATGAGTTCAAACCATGGTCAAATATCATCTTTAGCGGGTCTGATCATATGTTGATGTTCATCTAGACAAAACTACGTAACCATGTCATACCAGTACTAGGGTGGTGCCAACCTGGTAGGCACTTGTGATCATGGCCGACATGAACTGGGTCTTATCAAAATGAGGACCAGGAAGCACCCATTCGCAAACATTCGAAGAGCATCTCCGATCGCAAACATTGCTAATCCCAAGGATTCCCCATTTGGGTTTGTCTGTAATGGGGTAGCTCTAAATCCACTGGTTAATAAGCATTTTCCCTACTATATTCTGGCACTATATTCGGTATACCTCCGTTGTCAGACATACCCGTTTGAATCCCGTTTGAAGTTTTGAGGACATTCACAACACAGGCCGCCATGCTTAGACCCAAGGATCAATTGATAAGTGTCACCTTTGCCACTTCCTACGGAGGAAAGATTGGCCACAAGCAAGATGAGGTTCAGATGCAGATGTACCCTCTGGTAATTTAGTATATATAGTTATGGAAATTGGCCCAATGATAGATGATTTACCTATCAAAAACGGCGATGTTCCACAGCTATGTCGAATTCCCAAAAGGTTCGCTATACAGCAACCAGGTGCCCATGTGGACCATGTGGACTTAAATCCTGGGTCTTCATGGGTAATCCTGAATCATCCTGAATATCTTGGTGTTGTTGTCAAAAATACTCTGGTTGGTGGTTTCAACCCCTCTGAAAAAATATGAAAGTCAGTTGGGATGATTATTCCCAATATATGGAAAAATATAAAATGTCCCAAACCACCAATCAGATACTGCTACAAATTAGCAAATTCGAATCCCAAGCTCTAGACAATGCCAACCAGCAATTGTGATACACGCAATGCTCAAAAGTTTGGTAATTGCTCGTGTTGGGGATGGTCATCAATTGATTAATAGGCGTCTATACCCCATTCTCAGGTAGTGATGATAAGAGAACCAAACCCCATATCCCATGCTTTGACCATAGCACATAGAACTTTCATAAAACCCCTGGAATTTGTCGAGTTTTGGTGTCTGCAAATGATCACCTGGTTGGTGGATTTAACCATCTTGAAAAATATAAGTTCGTCAATGGGAAGGATGACATCCCATATATTATGGAAAATAAAAATCATGTTTGAAACCACCAACCAGTCACTTTTTGTGGAACCCCCAATGCATTCACGGCCTGTCCTTGACCCAGGGACAGCAGGGAGAGGGCTGCGGCCTCGTTTCGCATCTCCTGAATCCCAATGCATCACCAAACGGCAATGCCAATACCAGCCCTCCAGGTCCCAAAAAGTGCTGGAAACTCCAAGACATTTCATCTAGGAATGGATCATGGATTGATGGATGGACTGATGGATAAATCACCTTTGTTCCCCACATCATTGTAATAAATCACTGGTTGGTGGTTTCAATCCCTCTAAAAAATATGAAAGTCAGTTGGGATGATTATTCCCAACTGAATGGAAAAATAAAATTCATGTTCCAAACCACTAACCAGATCACCATTGCAATGGAACTTCATGATTTTCCAATTTTCCATGTTTCATTGAGGGAAGGTTCATGGACATTCGCGGCAGTGCTCCAAAGGCATCACTTGGGACAGGTTGGACATGTTTTTCTTGCAATAACCATGTTTTAAATCATCCCCGTTTTATCCCACTACATCATATTCAAAGTCTCATGACTGACCGATGCCCCAGTCCACCAAGGACAAAAAAAAATGGAATCCACAGAAATCCACACAGTTTGACCGAAAATCCCAAGGGACAATCCCCAAAATGCCATGGTTGAAGATAAACCCCATATCTTTGGACAGATCCAGATCCAAAAAAATGTTGAAAATCCCCTCATGTTATTGATTATTAATAAGTTATGTCAAATTCCGAATCTGGTTGGTTCAATCCCCATATGTTTGGTCAAAGTCACAAACAATAAACATACGTAGGTAAACATCACCGAGGTGGTGGGTTTCTTGGTATCCAACTTTAACCCACAACCATCCAAATCCACTGTTCATTCATGAAATTCCAATTGTTGATGGACAAACCACCATTGCTGATGGACAAATCATAATTTTCGATGGATATATCACCATGGTTGATGGATAAATCACCTTTGTTGATGGTGATATTCCTATTTTTTGGCTGTCAAATCCCCGATATGTACAAGTTCTTTTGGACATCTCTCCTTCACCAGCACCTCCAGCGCAGCATCCAGCGCGTATCTGCCAAAGTTGCTGCGACAGTCGTTGCCCAAGGACCAATCCAGTGCAACCCCTGGCGCAGCGCATTTCACCGTATTTTTCTAAGTTTTAAGCCATCCCCAAATGGTTGAGGAAGTCAAGGATGGTTGAGTTCTTATTTTTTTTGAAGATTCAGTGGTTTTAACTATTCTTGACTGGTGTTTTGACCATCGTTGCACCATTTTCTGCAGCGCCTCGTTGCTCCAGCTGCTCCGCCAGCACCGGCAGCAGTTGAGGCGCATGACGGGCGGCCTCTTCCAGGAGGATGTGGAGCTCCGGTCTTTGTAAAGGATCCATTTTGGCTTCATCGGAATCACCTGCCACACGGCAACTCTTTGTTGTTGTCCGCGGCATGAGAGAATCAACTGAGTTCCCCAAGACTCAACCAACTATGATCTACATATATATATATAAATATGTATATATATATATGTAACTTCAGTACACACACATGAAATCCCCATTCCAAAATCATTCCAATGGGAACATCATCCACGGACGCGAGAGAAAAATGTCGTGTTTGACGGAAGGCGGCAGGAGGAAGTACCTAACCCGCTAAGGATGGGATATCCAACAACCCATGGATTTGGTCAATTCTATGGTAGTGAATCATCAATATTTGACTTTGGTGGTTGACCATTTTGACCCATGGCCAAATCGATGCCAAAACAACTCCAAGCTTCAGAATTGACCTTGTTTCTAGTTGCTTTGCAAGATGTAACGTGCATCACCACAATTCTGACTGGCTCATGCATCCCTATTCCAACGTTGTCTCAGAATGTGGAACCCCAAATGCCATGATAGTTGGTAGCTCCGAGACACATGGTTGACAACTGGAAACTCTTTGAACTACTCTTAGATACCCTGCGCAAACGCAAAAATAATAAGATAATATACAAAAATGGATAATATGTACATGTGTATATATATATATATCATTAATAATATATAGTTCCCGATTCATGACTGAAAATCAATCCACTCATGAACCAAATCTACCAACAAGTCATCCAGGCCCGCTACGGCAGCACAGCCTTGTCCCCAGGTGTCTATCAGGATCGCTGCCCGCAGAGTATTTCCCTGTGCTTCGCTGCCCCCCCGATGGTTGTTTTGTGTGAAACAAATGGAATGTTGAGTGCTCATCGGCAGAAATGGATACATTGAAAAACATACATGCATACATACATACATACATACAAACATACATACATACATACGTACATACATACATTACATTACATTACATTACATTACATTAGATTACATTACATTACATTACGTTGCATTAAAATTACATTACATTAGTTCATACAAACATACATACATACATACATTACATTGCATTGCATTGCATTACATTACATTACATTACACCACATTACATTACATTACATTACGTTACGTTACGTTACGTTACATTACATTACATTACCATACATACATACATACATACATACATACATACATACATACATACATACATACATACATAAGACATTACATACATACATTACATTACATTACATACATACATTACATTACATTACATTACATACATACATACATAATTACATACATGCATGCATGCACATACATACATACATTAACATTACAAACATACATACATACCTACATACATACAAACAGACAGACAGACATACAGTACATACATACATACATACATACATACATACATTACATACATACATTACATACATACATACATACATACATTACATTACATTAAATTACATTACATTACATGACATCACATCACGTTACATTATATACATTACCATACATACATACATAAAGACAGACAGACAGACAGACAGAAAGACAGACAGACAGGCAAACAGACATACATACATACATAGATACATAGATACAAACATACATACATACATTACATACATACATACATTACATTGCATTACGTTACATTACATACAGGCATACATAACATAACATAACATTACATCACATTACATACATTACATTACATTACATTACATTACATACATACATACAGTACATACATACATACATACATGCATACATACATACATACATACACATTACATACATACATATACATACATACATATTAACATACAAATATACATACACATACATACATACAACAACATACATTACATACAACATACATACATTAACATAATACACATACATACATTACCTACATTACACATACATTACATACATTACATACATACATACATACATACATACATACATACATACATACATACATACATACATACACACATACATAGACATATAGATACATATACATAGATACATAGATACATAGATACATAGATACATAGATACATAGATACATAGATACATAGATACATAGATACATACATACATACATACATTACATACATACATTACATTACATTTCATTACATTACATTACATTACATACCATACATACATACATACGTACATACATACATACATACATATATACATACATACATACATAAATACATACATACATACATACATAAATACATACATACATACATACATTAGATACATACATACATACATACATTACATACATACATACATACATACATACATACATACATACATACATACATTACATGACATTACATCACATCACATCACATTAAATTACGTTACGTTACATGACATTACATCACATCACATCACATTAAATTACGTTACGTTACATTACATTACATTACATCTTTGCAAACATGCATGCATACATATATGTACATATATACATATACATGTGTATAGATTGATATATACATACCAAAATACACGTATCGTTGACCATGCGGATTCTTCGTTAGACTTTCCGGTACAGTTCTGGGCTAACCAGGACAAATTCCAGATCATTACATCTGTATTTTCAGGGTCTTGGGCGATCTATACCCACTTGGGCCAATCGATATATTTCACGGACATGAACTACAGTACCCTCCGGTAATCAAAGGTGGCAATGGCAAAACTCCTATAAATTTGCATTTTAGTGGGAAATTCAATGAAAATCATTAATGTATAGAAATGGGCCTGAGGTTGGTATAAGGTGTTGCTCTGAAGGTATTCTTTTCCTGTTCTGTTTGTACAGTTATCCTTTTGGTATCATTGTGAACAAGTAATGATGGCCACTTGCCTAACATGTGAAAATTAACTGATGATGTTCATTGACTTTCCACTCGTGGATGCAAATCAACCATTTTGGGACAAACTCACAGGATGCATATGGAACCAGGGGCTTGCGATATCTATGTTTCTCTGCCAGCTACAGGATATCTGCCAGCTAGATATGAAATCTTTGTTATCTAGATTTATCTAGTATTATCTAGAGTTACGCGCAGACCCCGAGGTTTGCCCGGACTGCAACTGCAACATTGAGGATTCCCAGTCGTCGAACATGCGAAGAGAAATTCCAGGAAATACTGCGTATACGCAGTGTTTTCTGCTTTCGGATTCAGAGTTTTTAGGGTTTAGGGCTTTAGGGTTTTAGGGTTTTGGGGTTTAGGGTTTTAGGGTTTAGGGTTCGTCGTCTGGTAAATGCTAAAACACTGGCCCTGCGCAGGTTTTTGAGCATGTTGAAGGATAATATCTGAACTCCATTCTAACCTTGCGGGCAAACCATAGGGTCTTGCCGTATAGTTAGATTATATCGTGCAGCAGCGTACAACATCATACGACAAGATAGTTGCTGCATATCATATTGGAAGATATCTGTATGTCATATATCATATATATATATAATATAGAGATAGACAGACTAGCTGTATATTATAAGATATAGTTGCTGTAGCCGACAAGTCGTCCCCCAGGAATTTCAGGACCTCCTGCAAAGCCGCATGGAGTTGATCCAAGGCCTTCTGCCGTCGCTCGCGCAGCGTGGACCTGTGGATAGCGTAGTGGATCAAACATCACAACGGTGGATCTTCCTGGAAAAATTAGGTAGCCATGGTTTTTTGAGTTTTTTTGTAAGCTGCTTATGAAATAATTGCTGGGGTTCTGTTATTTTCCTTCGCCTCTGCACCGTCTGTGGATTTTAGCCTGGCCATTGCGAAATAAGACCCTAGTGTTCTGCATCTAGTTGCAAATGATGCTGCGAATAATGAGGACAAGGAAAAAAGGTTCAAACACAAAGAGGCTGCCACCATCAGCACCACAATTGCTACACAAACATATATACAGAGCCGACAGCTAGGGAAAGACTTTCAGCAGCCAAGAATCACAAAATGTCAGCAAAGACAGGGATCCTGGTGAGATCCTCTCTAAGAGGTCCTTGCATGATGAGCTTGCAGATGCCATGTTTTAGAGGTGCTTGTAATGAAACCTCTTGTGGGAGCTCTTGGAGGTCTCTTGTATCAAGATCTTGTAAGGTCCGCTCCAGCAGCAGCAGGTCCTTTTATGACGATCTTGTGAGATTCTCTTCGGGGTCCTGGCATGGAGATCTTGCTCTCAAGGTCTGTCTTTCACAAGTCCTCGTGCGAAGATCTTGTGGAGATCCTAGAGAAATGCTGTCAAATGATCTGGTGCAGGTCTTTGTGAGAAGCAGAGGTCCTGCTGAAATCCTCTCTGTGTCCTTTCATGATCTGGTAAAGGTTGTTGTGAGAAGACCTTGTGCAATTTCTGTTGAAATCCTCCTCGAGAGGTCCTTGCGTTAAGATCCTGAAGATCCTATGCATTGGTGCTTGTGTGAAAGTTCTTCTGGGATGCTCATAGGAAGCTCTTGTATGAAGATCTTGTGACCTCATCGATATAGATCTATTTACAAGGTCCTGCTGCTGCAGTTGCGATCATGCCTAACCTCATCTGTTACTGTTCCATAGCTACTGTTGCTTGTATCTGTTACATCAACTTCCTACCCCCCACATTGTTGGGGCCTCCTGCCGGTGTAATTGTTGTTTTTTTCCTGAAATAAACCATCCAGCTAGGCTATTGGGGTACCCCTATTTATGGAAACCGAAAAATGTCAATCCTCCAGCCATCTCCAAGCCTCTGGCTCACCACTTGCTTCGCCGCCCGCAGCACCGGTGGCCGAGCACCCCGCAGCGCCGCGGAGCCGCGCGGAGTGCGGCCGCCGGACCCGCGGCGCTCGGCGCGCTGCGGGGCGCTCAGCAGGGCGAAGAGCAACGCTGCGAGGATCACCAAGCGGTCGCCACGAAGCCAGGACCTGAGAAAGGCGCGCCCTTCAGATGGGATTTATTGACAGATGGTGAGTTATCTTAAAATGGTTGGTCAGTAATGGTTGATATCACTCATGGTTAGTTGGTTGGTCAGTAATGATAGGAATGGTTGATATCGCTAATGGTTGACCAATCATATGTTCGGATATAAAACCACAGTTTGATTGATAACTAACCATATTTTGGTGACCAACAGGTAGAAGTAGATTGAAGCTTTTTGTTGTGCGATATTTAAAGTAGGTATACAAGGGGGCTTTAATGGGGCATTCTGGGATATTCATGGAATATCAGTGGACAACCATTACTACCATCCGAGTGCTTGGGTGCCCAACTTTGACCCCTGTCCAACCACAGGGATTCCATGGGATTGCGAGGCAAGACTCCTTGATGAGATGCTACACAAAGGAAAGGGGACAAGCTATGTATGTACTGTGTCTGGTTGGTGGTTTCAACCCTCTGAAAAATACTAGTCAGTTGGGATTATTATTCCCAATGTATGGCAAAAACAAGTTCCAAACCACCAATCAGGTGTGTACTACTCTTGACTCTTCGCAGAATTGAAAGATATTGTTGAAGGTCAAGCCATGTCAAGGTCATTCAACAACAACTGAATCAATATTCATCAATATTCATCAATATTTACCCTCTGGTAAACTAACATAACTATAGAAAATCACCATTTTCAATGGGAAATTCCACTATAAATGGTCATTTTCAATAGCTATGTTAAATTACCAGAGGGTATCAATACTCATCAGTTGGGCCCCATTCAAAGCATTCCAGACCAATGACCTCCACTGCCCACCTGTGGTGACGCCACCAGCGATGCCAGTGATGCAGAAAGGAGCCTGTAAAGTGGTCATCTGTCAGTGCCCGGAGAAGGAAGACGACAAATCCTTGGCCAACCCCTGGAAAAACATGCACAGATATTGTGGATGAAATCACATGTTTGAAAATTGGGGCTAGTGATTTACCCAAATCTGGTGTTTTATCATGTTTTATTTCTCCATTGTTCATGCGAAAGGCCTTTCATATCTTTCATGCCTTCTCTATCTTTCTCTACTGTAGATCCTTTTGGCTACAACTACTGATCATAACGGAAAGGAAACAAACAGCTGCTGAAGCCAATGGCAAGATTCCAGCACAAACGACGAAGGTGACTGGAAACCTCACTCAAATCTCCAGTTTTCGCTGGTGCTGGTTTCAACCGAAACACATTCGTCTAACTGGGAGTGCAATAGCTGGCCCCTGCCTGGGATGAAAAATGCAGAAAGATATACTTAAACCTTCCAACCAGGTTAATTTGAACCCATCCTCCTAGATTCTATGGGTATAGCATCGCCAAAAGAGATAGAAAAGTTGGAAACCTAGCAAGTCAATAGCATCCTAAAAGCACTTTTCGATCCGGTTGCTTCATGGGATTTCCCAAAAAAGTCTTGTGATCCCCAAAATAATTGGAGAGTATAGCCGCCCATAGAGCCCCCTAAAATCACCAGGATCCATACGGACCCAAGCCACCATTGATTCCTGCGCGGAGTCAACCGCCCCCTCCGCGCCGCGGAAACCGCTGTCCGGCACTGGACGGCGCGGAGGGGGCCGCGGGGCGGCCTACGTCGGCGACGGGCATGTGCCGGGCAGGGAACCCATGTTTTGGGGATGGGGATGATTTACTGATTGATTAGATGATTGGAAGACTTGGAATAATGATTTGAACATCAACATCGAAAGTGTTGTGCTGATTATTTCAACGCACCTTTTTTATGTTGAATTTATGGAAAGGTAGGGATCAATATCAAAGTTCAAGATGATTTAAACAAGCTAAAGTGGAGCTGCGACTCCTCTATCTGAAGGGTTAGAAACTAGACAGGTGCAGGTATATGCAAATCAAAATAAATCATTCATATAACTGCTAGATGAGCACATGAGTGCCTGGGGTTCATCACTGAAAATCTACAAAGACTGCACAATACAGTAATTCATGTGCACGTGAGCAACGATCCTGGGAATGTCCTCTCAATTGCAGCCGGATCCAACAGCCATGCCAAGCAGTCACAAAGAGCATCAAAGACATTGTAGGAACAACAACATAGAATCCCCCTGTGAATTCCATGGGTAACTTGGGAGCCGAGCTTTGTAACCACAAATGTAGTATCAGGTGTTTTTTAGCCTCTACAAAGTTGAAACAGGGGACCCATCATGGAATGTAAACCTTACAAAGCTCGAGACCCCAGGTTGCTCTATGACTGGTGTTTTTTCACAACATAAGGCTTTACAAAGTTAGGATTCATTTATGGTGTAAAAAAGATGCCAAATTCGCATCAGGTCTTGAAGCTCAAAAACCCAAAAATCCTATTTTTTTAAAGCTTTGTAAAGCCCACGTGGTTTCACAACATTTGCGCATTTTTTCAAGTTATCCCAATCTCGCGGCCAGCGGGCAGCACACATGTTTTTGTCTCTTTTATGCGTTTGCCCCCAAGTTTTTGGTTTGAATTTGTTTCAGATTGTTTCTGTGCAACTCGCACCAGCTCATCTCTAACTTGTTTCCCTCACTTTGTTTCATTTTTCTTTTTATTCATTCATTCATAGTCAAAATATATGATAGATGTCATAATATCATAATATCTCACCAAATCATTGAGAAAAAATCATCTCACAGCAGAAAAAAAACAGCAACGGTGACAGGCAGTTACGAAGTTCAAACCTACAGAGCAAGGACAAGTCTACACCTTACAAACCTCAACCTGCTTACTCCTGCAGACAAACCCACTCCCACTACAAATTTCAAACGGTGAAAATATGAAATCTCTTTGGGTTACAAAGTTGAAACTAGCTGTCCTCCTTCTCCTCCTTCTCCTCCTCCTCTGCCTCCTCCTCTAGTTTCTCCTCGACCATGTCTGCATCAACTTCCACCTCCACTTCCGCCTGCCAACTCTTCGCCAAGCTCTTTGCCAGCTCTCTTCGCCAAGCTCTTTGCCAACTTCCCAGCTCAGTGTGCACCGCAGGACCTCAACCTGGGACCTTCCCAGCTCAGTGCGCACTGCTGGACCTCAACCTGGGACCTTCCCAGCTCAGTGTGCACTGCTGGACCTCAACCTGGGACCTTCCCAGCTCAGTGTGCACCGCTGGACCTCAACCTGGGACCTTCCCAGCTCAGTGTGCACCGCTAGACCTCAACCTGGGACCTTCCCAGCTCAGTGTGCACCGCTGGACCTCAACGGCCAGATAGAATGCCAGAGATATGCCAGATAGAATGTCAGATAGAATGCCAGAAAATATGCCAGATAAAATTCCATAAGATATGCCAAGTAGAATGCCAGAAGATATACCAGATAGAATGCCAGAAGATATGCCAGATAGAATGCCAGAAGGTATGCCAGGTAGACTTCCAGATAAAATGTCAGATAGAATGCCAGAAGATATGCCAGATGAATGCCAGAAGATTTGCCAGATAATATGCCAGAAGATATGCCAGATAGAGTGCCAGATAGAATGCCAGAAGATGTGCCAGAAGATGTGCCAGAAGATGTGCCAGAACATATGCCACAAGATATGCCAGATAGAGTGCCAGATAGAATGCCAGACGATATGCCAGAACATATGTCAGATAGAATGCCAGATAGAATGCCAGAAGATATGTCAGAATATATGCCAGAAGATATGCCAGATAGAATGCCAGAAGATATGTCAGATAGAATGCCAGATAGAATGCC